CCCCCGCAACGGCGCCAAAAACTTGACTCGCTAAAACACAACTCCTTGATAAGGAGGTTGTTCTTGATATGCCCAGGGGTCTGATTGTTCTTCGTAGGGGGTTGGTACTGGAACCCGAATCCATAGTCTTCTCCTCCTTGATTGCTCCAGGAAGTCTCGGGGTAATACCACTCGGATGGTGGTGGATACCCCCAATGGTTGGAGAAGCCACGAGGATCCATGTTGCAGATCTGCACCAACAAAAACACTCAAGTGAAAAACAAGGATGGAGAAAAACAACAGAAAGAAAAGCTAAATTAATAAACTTCTGTCTTTCCTAATAATCTAGAAAGTCCCCCGCAACGGCGCCAAAAACTTGACTCGCTAAAACACAACTCCTAACAAAGGCGAAGAGTAACCAATGAAAGGGACTGCAATTAGGGATGACAACAAAACCCGAACCCACGGGTACCCACCCGACCCAACCCGGTCAACGCGGGTAAAATCCGTGTTGACGGATTTTGGGTCGGGTTTGGGGTTAAACCCGTTCACTATTCACCGGGTTGGGTTGGGTTTGGGTTTAGGTAAAACCGGCACATGGGTACCCGCCCACACCCATATAATTAATTTTCTTGGTATATTTAATATTCTAAACAACTAATCTTATTTATGTTTGTGGAGACATGTCTAATTTTTTCTTTTTAATTGTGTAGAATGAAGTTGATGTTATCGAGTGGAGAGTGAAGAAACTTAATTGAAAGGAAGAAGCTTTCAATTAATCATGTTATTTATGGATAATTTGTGATTTGTTTCAATTTTCTTGAGTTTTCTAGATTGGTGTTGAACAATTTGTATAGTTAATTTGTGATTTGCTTGAATTTTCTAGAGTGGTGTTTTATATATGGATAATTTGTATTGAGAGATTGATATTTGACTTTAATTTTGATGGGAACTTGTTATTGTAAATTTTTTATGACAAAAACCCGTGGGTACCCATGAACTCGCGGATACACAGCGGGTTGGTTTGGGTTTGAGTTTATCAAACCCAGTGGGTTTTACCCCGCGTTTTTTTTTCACGGATAAACCCATGGGGTTGGCAAAACCCGACCCAACCCGACCCATTGCCATCCCTAACTGCAGTATAGTGGCTCAAGCAATGCAGTCAAAAGCGCGATTCTACCTAGAAGCGGAAAATGGGTAAAATCGTAAAGCGTAGAATCAAAGCGAAATAGCGTAAGTTTTTGACGCATACTGAAAAAATAACTAAAAATGTATTAAGTAGGACATATGCTATGCAAAATATGAATGCACAGAATTTAGATAAGTCAATAAATACATGCGATTCATGCCTAAAGTAGAACAACTTATAGCATCTTAATAATAAGTTTGTAAACATAAATTTTAACAATAAGCCACTTTTCCCACTATGCTAATGAACTTGGGAAAAGCCTAACGGGTGAATTAGATTACTCTATCGAAGTTGAGAATGCATCCAAGTACCTTATATGTATCTTTTAATCTCAAATGTATCATATTGTTGGTGATTTACTTTTAAAATATACTTTCATAATTAATTTCATGAAAAGAAAACTCATTTAGTGAACTAAAAGCGTGAAAACGTAAAGCGTTTTGGAGAACTAGAAGCGTAAAACCGTAAGCTTTTAAGCTTTAAAGCGCAATTTAGTCCGATTTTATACACTTAAGTTTTTATATGGAAACGAAAGCATTTTGGTGACCTAAAAGCGTAAAATCGTAAGTTTTTAAGTTTTAAAGCGCGATTTTGACTGCATTGGGCTCAAGTAATAAAAATTGAATCCACGGGCCTCTAGAGTTACTATTACTCAACTTCAGTTCATTATCTAGCAAACCAGATTAAGATAGAACAACTAAAACTACTCTAGCAAACTACGATTAAATTTAACCTAATTACAGGTTGGAACCTCACTTAGGTATGATTCCCCCTAGCCACTAGCCAGATTAATGATTGATGATCTCTAACCTGTTTCACTTTCATTCATAATGCGGAGAATCCTTAACTAAACCTTGAGTCTCGACTAAAGGAACAAGGCCCTCTCGAGCCAATTGCCTAGAGGGACGTATCCTTCTCTAGAACAACCGATCAAGGAGTTCTGAACTAGATTTCTTCTATCGAATGAGGTTCTCAATCGATACAAAGCAGTGAATCAACCATCGACTAAAGAAACCGATCCAATACTATCAATCTATGGTGCTCTATTGACCTAATCAGGTATTCGCTCTCATAGGATCAAAGCAGAATCAATAATCTCGACTAAAGCATAATTGAATGATGAAAACATGCATAGATTGAATATGAACTCAAGATTATCAAGTAAGAGTACTCATACAATCATCCAATCAAATAAACATGGCTAGGGTTCCTCAAAACCTAAGTGAAGGAAAGTTACTCCATAGAGAAGAGAGAGAATTCAGAAATCTGATCTAGATCTTCAATCTCCATCTTGAAGCTTGATTCCCGAGCTCAAATGGTGATGAAATCCTCCAAAATAGCTCCAAGAATGTTCCCAAGTTGCTCTCTCTAGGTTTCGTCCCTTGGGTGCTTAAGATCCAAAACCCAGCTCTCCTGCAAATTTCCTGAGCAGCCAATAAATAGACTGAGAATCCGCAAGTTACGGCCCGAGTTACGACCGTAACTCTCCTTGCCAGCCAGTAACTTGCTGAGAAACGACGCCGTTGTTGCACTGTCTTCGTCCAAGAGTTACGGGTTCAATGGCTGAGTTACGGCCTTGACCGTACCTTGGAAGGTCAGCCTGTAACTCCTAGAAACCTCATGTAACCCTTCTCCCTTCACTTGCAACTTACGGCTCCTCTTGGCGAGTTACGGGCCATACCGTAACTTGCAAGGTCTAACCGTAACTCCCAGGATCGATCTGCAAGTTCGCTAAAATGTCCCGAAACTTTGCTCCGCCGCGCCCATTCACGTACTTAATCCTGAAACATCATAAACTAACACGCATAATCGTAAAACAGGCCACGAGAGAGAGAAATAAAGCTCAAACGGTCACGAAATGATGGGGAAAACATGTTAGAATAAGGCGTTACCACTCGATCTCCACCATGATCCCTTAACCCCATGCATGGCTGTTATTTCCATCTAACAACTCTAAATAATTAAGCTAACATATTTGGTCCTACTTCAGCTTTTAAATCAGAAAATTACTTCTAAAAGGCGAGTCGCAATAAGTTTGGTGTTGGTATGGTTCACACATCACATGTTACCAATGACACAGATCTTCCGCAGTTAGTACAACACATATGATAGGGGGTGACCATAATGATCATTATCCATTATTGTCGTGCGTTGGTATAATGATGCAATTGGGCAATGGTATAATAAGATGAAAGGGCTCTGGTTTGCAATGACATTTGGAAACACAAAAACATAAACAAAAGCCTAATAACTGCCCTCAACTCCCTTTTGATTATTAAACCTCAAGTCCATGTTCTGCGAACACACTCATCGACCATTTGTAGTTCAGATGGCTTTGTCATAAAGCTTTCCCCCATCCAATTAAGTACAGTCACCTACCATATGAGAAATTTTACAATGCTATATAGTATTGGTGCTATAGGTTTTTCCCTTTATGGTACAATTTAAAATTGTACATTTATGTTATGGTACAACTTCAGGTTGTACCTATACTTTTTGTACATATTCTTTTATGGTACAACTTGAACTTGTACCTTTATGTGATGGTACAACTTCAAGTTGTAAAGTTGTACCATAACATAATGGTACAAATTGCTTTATGGTACAACCTAAACTTATACATTTAATGCTATGGTACAACTTTAAGTTGTACATTAAAGCACTAATACTATATAGTATAGTAGAAGTGCTCCCTACCATATATAACATGATCATTGATGTGCTTTTATGGATGGCACTATAGATGAGAAGAGTAGGACTTACTCGTATTTGGAGCTAGACATCTATCCGTAAGAAGTTTATAAAGTTTCTTTGTCTGAAATGGAAAAGAAAAGAAAAAAAAGAAAAAACAGAAAAATGTAGCATCTGGTTCCATAAGTTTCGACGCCACTTTCATCATTTTTTATGCTTAGTGAAAGATTTCTCAGTGGTCTTTCTATTTGTGCTCGAATAAGAGAGATGAGTAAGAATGTAAAATCAAATATGAACAAAAAGGTAGGTCGGTTTTAGCAAAATAAAAATAGAATGATAAAAGAAGAAAAAAATGAATCACTAAAGGATTCTCAAATAGTGCTAACAGCGACTGTGAGCCGTCAGATCGGACATAAAACACTCACTGCCGTTGGATGGACACGTACTTCACCGGCAGCAACAGAATATTGACCATTTTCAAGTTTGAACTCAATATGCTTAGAGCCAAAATCTTTGGCGCCCCCCTGTTTTCGTCGGGCCAATTAACAAGTTATTGATTAATTTAGTTTACTGAATCTGTATGATGGTTGATGAGTAATTTGGACACATAATTAAAATTGCTGGCAGATTACTATTCTAGTTTAATTCAAACCGTAGAATCAATCAACAATATATGCTCGAAGCAAAAACAAGTTACAGAATTTATGATCCAGATTAACTCCTGTAGTAGGTAGTTTCCAAAGGCTAAACTACAACCATTACCACTGCCTGCGAACAAACAGCCGTATTTGCATGTTGGATTCCAGTGCAGGAAGGAGAAGGCTGAAGATTTCAGTTCTCATCTCTCTCTCTCTCTCTCTCTCTCTCTCGAGTAGACTCGACTGTTTCCAATTTCCAACATATTCTGACCTTTGCCGTAAAGCCGAGCGCTGTGTGTCAATATGGCGAACAGAACTAAATAAGGGAAAGTTTTAAACTTTCTCAATTGGCCTATCTGCTCTTGATTCGCGTCATCATTACTATTGTTCCCACACCAGCTCAACTCCACTCATTGTCTCTTCCTCCATTACCCATTCTACCACACCGCACCATCATCTCTATAAAAACCTTTCCTTTCTTCTTCCTCCCACCAAAAAACCAGAGCCAAACAGGGGGGAAAAGTTCACTTTCCCAGTTTTCTCCGTAACCCATAAAGCAGAGAAGAGGGAGAAATGGAGCCTGCTTCCATCACCACCGCGCTACCCAGTATCCAGGCCACACCGGCGGCAGCCGCCGTGGGCGGGCTGGTTTTCTCCGTTTATTTCATGAAAAAGATGTTCGTCGATAAAAAGAAGGCCGGCAACCCCAATCTCCGGATGGTTCCGGGTAATTGATGAACCCCACTTTCCTTTCCCTTCTTTTGGTTGTTGGGTTTGACGAGAGATTTTTTTCTTTTCTTAATTGGTCGGCCGGAATTTGCAGAGGTCCCGGGCTTGCCGGTGCTGGGGAACTTGCTGCAGCTGACGGAGAAGAAACCGCACAAAACGTTTTCGAATTGGGCTGAGACTTACGGTCCAATCTACTCCATCAAAACCGGTTCCTCCTCCGTCGTCGTTCTCAACACTACCGACGCTGCCAAAGAGGTCAGATTTTTTTGCCTGCTCTGTTCTTGATCTTGGCTAAAGCTAGCTGTGGCTTGCTGTCTCATTTCTGGGTTGTTCAACAGAAGTTGCAGTCTTTGATTGGAAGCTTAATCTGACGGTATTTATACATGGTTTCCAAAAAATCAGATGAATTTTTAAACAGAACCTCAGTTTCCTTCTGCAAACTCTGTTTCAGGCCATGGTGACCAAATTCGCATCCATAAGTACAAGGAAAATGTCAAAGGCTTTGTCCGTGCTCACTCAGGACAAAACAATGGTTGCAGTAAGCGATTATGACGACTTCCATAAAATGGTGAAACGCCACGTCCTCACTAACCTGTTGAGCCCAAGCGCCCAGGTTCGTTGGAAACTGCAGCATTACAATTCAGAGTACTCTGTTTTTTTTTTTTCGTGGGCAGAAAGCCAGAAACAGAGTTCATGTTGATTTACTGTTTTTGGTTGCCGAATTTTGCAGAAGAGACTTCGATCTCAAAGAGACATGATGGTGGACAATATAGCAGCCCAATTGCTGGCTCATGCCAAGTCCCATCCTGGAAAGGCTTTGAATTTCAGGAAGGTGTTTGAGTCCGAGCTCTTCGGTTTATCCATGAGGCAAGCAATTGGGAAAGATGTGCAGTCTATTTATGTTGAGGAATTGGGGACTACCGTTTCTAGAAGAGGAATCTTCAAAGCTTTGGTGCTTGATCCAATGGATGGAGCTATAGAAGTGGACTGGAGAGATTTCTTCCCGTACCTGAGCTGGATTCCCAATCCGAGCTTTGAAGCGAAGATCGAGCAGATGCATTACCAGAGACAGGCTGTGATGAGTGCCCTGATCGCCGAACAGAAGCAGCGAATTGCGTCGGGAGAGGTAAATGGAATTGTATTGACACGTTAAAACTTGTTCTTTCCTTATCATGGCTAGATTCTAACGGTATGTTGGGTGTTATGTTAAGGCGATCGATTGTTACGTCGACTACTTGCTGGCTGAAGGCAAGAACCTGACAGATCTCCAGGTCTCGATGCTGATATGGGAGACGATCATCGAGACATCCGATACTACGCTGGTGAGCACGGAGTGGGCGATGTTTGAGCTTGCGAAGAACCCTGACATTCAAGAAAGACTCGTCTGCCAAATCCAGGCCGTCTGTGGGTCCGAGGAAGTCTCCGAGCAACACTTGTCGAAGCTTCCTTACCTGAGCGCCATTTTCCACGAGACGCTCCGAAGGCATAGCCCTGTTCCTGTCATCCCCTTGCGCCACGTGGATGTTGACACGGAGTTAGGAGGGTACCATGTCCCTGCTGGAACCGAGGTAAAACGTTATACAAATATGACTCTCTAATTGTTATAACTGTGCTACTACGGATCGTCGGAATCGAGAAAGCAATAATACAAAAACGAGAATCGAAAACAGACACACGATTTACGGCAGGAGAGAACCAGTTTCACTATATTGAGGAGATTACAGATTACAGAAGAGATGAGAAGTATTTATACTTTTCCATGTGGGTCTAAACCTAATCCAATATGGCAAAGAAAACAGTTACAGACATGGCTCAAAACTGACAAACCCAAACGTGTATCGACCCATACACCGTGGATCGGGGGCGTTGCTTCCAGTCGTAGCGCTGATAGTCCGATTCAAGTCACATCAACACTAATAGACAAGACCGCCTTAACTTTTGTACGTGTTTTGGTTTTGTAGATAGCGATCAACCTATATGGATGCAACATGGACAGCAAGCAATGGGAAAATCCTGACGAGTGGCTTCCTGAGAGGTTCCTAGGTGGGGGATCGGACCCGATGGAGCTGCATAAGACGATGGCGTTTGGGAGCGGGAAGAGGGCTTGTGCAGGAGCCCTTCAGGCGATGCTGATAGCTTGCACATCGATCGGGAGGATGGTGCAGCAATTCGAGTGGCGATTGAAGGAAGGAGAGGTAGATAATGTGGATACCGTTGCGCTCACTGCTCGTAAACTTGACCCCTTGCACGTTATTATCAAGTCAAGAAGCTAGAGAAAGAATGAGAGACAAATCAAAGTCACGTCGAGCCAGTTTATATAGAGTGTACTTATGGTATGTGTTTTGTTTAGGGCAGGCAATGTTATGTTTCGGCTTGAAGGGTAATCGAATGGAATGTAGTTTGGCTAATAAGGAATACAATGTTTTCTTTGTGAATATTTTTGATGAACTTGGACGTCGTTCGGATCTCTATAGATGGATCAGCAAATCTCTGATACAGCTAGACAAGCGAGCTTCGTCACCGAATTCATCTGGAATCCCAAAGTAGTCGTGGTGTGTGGTTTTGCGATAAACAATTGTAAATAGTAGTTCGTTCTCAGATGGAATGATGGTTGGGCTTCCAGGTAAATACGAGTATGTGAGCTTGTTGATAACAAAATGGCTATATGGACTTGTAAGCACTACAAGAGTTGTTCTCTACAGAAGACCGAACCACTATCTTAAAGATTCCTAGGGTAAACTAGTGATGGCAATGGGACGGATTGGGCAACTCTATCCATTTCCCGCCATATGCTATTGCGTGTCGGGGAGGGTAATATCCGTGCCGGTATGGGACGGGTGGCTCGATCCAATATTATATGTTATTTGAAAAAAAATATACACAAATTTTTACTTTTTAAGATAAAACGAAGAGGAAAACACTTTATGAATGAAATGGGTGATTATAGAATGGGTATTTGAGTCTAATTAGTTGACATATCAAGGCTAACTAATTGAAAAAAAAGTCAAAATAGGAGAAATATAAATAAATACTATAAGAAATTGAGATAGAATAAGTCAAGAAGGGGCAGGGCAGGTTAGAAATAAATATCAATACCTCATCTCACACTAATACGGGTCAGATAATAACCGCGCATCACGGATTAAATAAGGTAATACCCAACGGACAAGTTCAAATTGCCATCCTAGGGTAAACCTCTAAGCTTGGATGGGCAGTAAAATGGTGTCTACTTTGTCAAAATAGCAAGTGAGATGCTTAGATAATCATACAAGGACATTAAGTTTAATTTTCTATCGGACATATCCCCAATTGGAAGAAATTTTGGAAGTTAAAGTCTAGATAGAAAGTCAAAATTTTCATTTGAAAGATTTTTAGAAATATTGTATCAATGGGGAGCTAACTTGGAGGTAGGGATTGCAACAATTCAATACAGTTAAATTAACTACATTTATCATATTATGTATTTAATATTTTATTTTTAATATATTATATTTTAGTTTATAATAAAATTGTAAATAGGTGAGAAACTCAATTTCATGAATAAATTAACTATATTTATCCAATTATTATTTTTAATATTTTATTTTTATTATATCATCATATCATATTTTAGTTTATAATGAAATTGTAAATAGGTGAGAACCTCAATTTATTGAATAAAGTAATTACTTTTATCATATTATATTTTTTTCTTGATATTTTATAATTAAAAATGAATATATCCAATGTTTTCCTTTTAAATTAGTTACCAATTAAGTCGACCGATCCCGAACCGCACCCTTGAAAAATTAACCAATCTAGATCTAACCTATCACAAAGGAAAATAGATAGTGAGATACTCGCTCTAGAACTGCGACATGGTCCTTCCTACAAAGCATACTGAATTAGGGTTAGGGTCTGGTGTGAGAGTTGGGCTTAGGCCTATGAGAGTGAGGGAGTTTGGATGGGATTGGAACTTGGTGCCGGTGGGTAGATTATGATTTGTTTTTTTTTTTTTCAATTAAAATAGGATCAAATAGGAAAGTTTTTATGTCCTCTCCTCGTAATGAAGCTAGATAGGTACCTCAATATTCATACTCCTCCATATTAAGATTGAGTCAACTTGTGTAATACTCATGCATGTACGGGTCTAGCAGCTCGTTAGTACTTAATAGTACAAAAATAAAATAGTTCATAAATGGAATTAGAGATGATTAATAGAATAATTGAGTCCAATTAGTTGAAGGATGAAATCTTCTTCTTAAGTATCATTGGGTGAAATAGTCAAAATAGAAAAAATAAAAACATATAGTGAGACAAAATGAGGTAGAACGGGTTAAGAATGAGGCAGGATGGGGCGAGACAGGCCGTTGGTACTTAGTAGAACCAGTGGCGGATCCATGGAGCTTTAGGGGTATCCCAAAACACCCCCTAAACTTTGGAAAAACGAGTCTCCAACCTTCTATAGGAATTTGTGTGTATATAAAAACTATTTAAGTGGTAGCGGGACACCCCTGAATTTTGGAAAATCGATTATCCAGCCCCGGTTACTAGTTTGCATATGGGTAAAAAAAAGTAGTAGTTTGTGTGATTTGAACTTGAGACACTACTACTATTAGTATGCATGTTTTTCATTACACTACAGTTCATATGCTTTTTTTATTTTAGATAATATAATAATAAAGCATTATTCTATCTCCAATTATTTTCAGAACCAAACTATTAAACCCAATTATGGCATAACCTTGTCTAGGAGGATAATATCGAGAGAGATTTGTTGAGCATTGTAGACACTGAATGTATTTTATAATTATTTTAGAAAATGAGACATGTCGTGGATTTTTGCTGTAAGTTGTACTAGTCGGATATTTTTATATTTAATAATTATTTAATTTAATTTTTTGAAGAAGATACCCCTATGTAAAAAATTTGTGTCCACCACTGAGTACTACCCATGTCATGTCCGACACTACTACGAGGTATTACCTATCCTAGCACGAATCAAATCGGGTAATTGCCATAACTACTACAAGTGAGGATCAACCCAGACGGTGATAGAAAAAAAGCCTATGGGAGTAGCTCTCCCTTCTCTCCTCTGCTTCTGGCGGCAGATCGAGAACTATTGCGATCCCTGGTTATTGTGATTCTGGCAGCGTGCTTGAAGAATCAAAGCTGAGATGCAGATAGCCCTCAGATGCCTTCGTCTAGCCCGCTCTTCCCCACTCGTCAGGAGCGGATCCGCGGGAGGGTTGGCTTCTCTGTGCTGCCCCCGACCAGATGCTTGAGGAACCCTAGGGTCCGATCCAGTGGTACCCAGGTCACGCCCACATGCCACTCCAAAATAAGGAGTGGTAAACGCTCTCTGGAAACCTACCTGGTAAATAAGATGATTACCAGGGGAACCAACAAACGAATCCGGTTGCATAAAGCTTCCAAATGGCAGTTCAAACTTCCCTCCTCGTCGGAGATGGAAGAAGACAAGGAACCCACCTCGCAGCGGCCCCTTGAGAGCGGCAATAGTAGCCCTCTTAGGCCTTTCCCCTCGACGGATGTCAAGTGCTCTATCATGGATGACCGCATTTTTTGCTCTTCATATATCCCGACGGTGGAAACGGGTGCGAGGTAATAGTGGCCGGACGACAAACGACGGTGATACGCCGTCTGAAAATTTGGTCCAAGTGGTTGGGCATAGAGAAAATTCCGGGATTGCAACGTCCCGTAATCCCAATCCAAGAGGTCGAGGTTTACTCCCTCTTCTGAATAATTATCTGATTATGAATAATTATTTTTAAACTCTAAGGAGTCCTAATTGGAAAACTACTCCTACTAACCTAGTCCGAGTCGGCCATCCAAGCCTGGGGAACGGGTTATCTCGATTATATATATCCCCCAACCTTAAGCTTTGCCCTCTCACTGATACGGGTATCAAAATAGAGGCTGGGGTAAGGAGCTTAGTCGCGCATAACATTCCTAGGAGGTCGTCGAACTCAGGTAGTCTTTTTCTTCTTCAAGCCTCGGTATGCTCTACTGTTCTTAAGCTTGCTTACCCCCTGCCTCCCCTAGCGTTGGCTCCCATGCAAGCCATGAACGTGGATGGCTTGGAAACTATTGATCTGCCACCAATTAAGGTGGAACGGCCTTCTGATGTGTGTATTTCCCTTTTTCCTCTCCAGGTACCAAAGATGGCGCATGTCACTGTTGATCAGGTAGTAGAATTTTCGTTTGAGGAAGTTCAATCAAGTAAATATCGCGCTGCTCACTCCCTGATCGGACGTATCTTCACGGATAGTCGAGTGAATTTGGACGAAATCAGGGAGGATGGCTAACTCCTTAGCAGGTGAAGGGAAGATTGAGGGTGGCTTTGACGAAAAATGGGCTGCTGGAGTTCATTCTACCTTCCGAGAAGTCCAAGTCTTGGGTTCTCAAGCGGACACCGTGGGTGGTCAATGAGAAAATCCTCCATTTACGATCTTGGACCCCCACCATCTCCAAGAAAACTTATGATGATCTGGCCATGGTCCCTTTGCGTGTCCAATTTTGGAACGTTAATGAGGATTGCTGCACTTACCAGTTCGTAGAAAAATGGCGGCTACCACTATGGGGAAGGTACTGGAAGCTGGCGTCTTCGCTAGCCACGAGACGGGGTAATATTTTGTTAAAATTCGGGTGGTGATGGATCTTACCAAGCCATTGTGTTCCCAGTTATTGGCTACAAGTGATGATACGGGGAGCTTCTGGGTGGACTTCAGATATGAATACCTCCCTACTTTTTGTTACCGATGCAGTCGTGTGGGGCACTCTATCCGTTCCTGTGTGTATGAGCTGCCGACTCGCAAGGAGAGGTTCGGACCCCATATGTCCACCAAAAAAGTGGGAACCCGAGTCTATGATATTGACGAAGGGTCCCAACAATTTCGAGGGAATGGGAAGTCGGTGTGGATTAACCAGGACTTGCGTGACCATCGTAATGTCCAAGCTGGAAACCAAGCTCGTCCGATGGATGTGGATGAAGTCCTGCCGTCCCAAGGACTCAACTCGGGGCATGGTGAGACACTCACACCTTCCTAACAGCGCAAGCAGCAGACACGCAGCCCGCGTCACTTCCCAGTCAATAAATCCCCTCGAATCAAGTTGGGGAGGGAGTTTTCGAAGCAGAATCCTCAGAAAAACAGAGGCGTCGCTGGCGAAGCCTCTCTTCCCATGTGACGAGGGAAGCTTTTGAGGCCGATGCTGGAGATGGGATCTCGTCTCCTAACCAAGCAGCTCCCACTCGAACAGCAATGGCAACACCGGTTAAGAATGGCCAGGAGGGGAGATATGATGACCAGCCGGCTCTGGATGTCCTGCCTCCTCAAGTTCGACAGGGTCAGAACCGTCGTCGTAATCCCATCCTGGTCGACTCGGATGAGGATTCCCCGGCCAAACCGGTTGTGACTC